AATATAGATAATTTAATCATAAAATTACTATTGTTTTGCATTAATAAGTGCAGTTACTAATAATATTACATGTTAATTTCTTGTTTATTTTTCTAATGTTTATGGTTTATACAGATTTGACAGGAAAGCACTAAGCTTTAGTTAAGTGCATAGTATACAAAATTTACTTTTAACAACAGTAACAGGTGCAAAATCTAATTTTTATATAGAAAACGTATATATTTCACTCTTATTAAATGTACCATTATTCTTTTATGGAACTGACCAACTTCAGTGATTATGTTTGATTTGGTAGCAAATTGAAGAAAAGTTTGTTTTTCAAGGCACTTTGTGACTTTTCTTACTTCATACACAAAAAAAGTGTAAAGATCTGACAAAATCTGATTTGTTGATGATTTTATATTTTATAATAGGGATTTTATCATTTCAAAATATAGGGAAAAAAAGTAGAAATGAATGACTAATAAGCCAATAAGTGCTCCTCTGCTGTTATAAACTGGTTATAATTGTGATTTGATGTATTTTTTGCAGCACTGTTGCATCTGTGCAGTAACAGTGTCGCGAAAGCAACTTTGCTCCCGAGTAAAGCTGTTCTGAGCTCGGACAAGTTTGTTTGCGTCGCGGTCCGAGCTGATAAACGGTCCGCGCTGCGCAGCTCAAACGTAGCGTGGTTTAGTTTCGCTTTCATCTCGTTTGCCGTTTGATGTTTCTCAAATGCAACAGAAATGGCAGCGCTTTTGAGTTGGACAACGCGGTGGTCGCGTCAGTGCGACCACTCACAAAAATTAGTCGCACCGGCAGAAAAAATGGTCGCAGTCTGGAGCCCTGTGCAATATATTTTTAAAGTGTAATTTATTCTTGAGTTGGCAAAGCTGAAATTTCAGCATTATCACTCCAGTCTTCAGTGTCACAAGATTCTTTAGGAATCATTCTAATATGCTGATTTGCTGCTCAAGAAACATTTTTTATTGTTATCAATGTTGAAAACTGCTTAATATTTTCTTTATTGACTCTTTAATGAATAGAATTCTTTAATGAACAGAAAGTTGAAAAGAACAACATTTGAAAAAGAAATGTTTTGTAAAATAATAAATGCCTTTGCTGTCGTTTTTGATCAATTTAACGCATCCTTGCTGAATAAAAGTTGCATATCCATATGAATGCAGATTCTTACAATGTTCAAGTAGGATGCAGCACGGTTCGCATAAAGCTTCTCTTTCAGGTCTTGAGAGATGATGATGTCCTCTGATTCAGCATACTCTGCTATGTTTAAGGACTCGGTGTATAATTCAACAGATCGCGCCCATTCGCCTTCAAGGAACACATCATTTGCCTCACCAAACAGATTCCTCACCAAACTTTGGATGAACACCTAGAGGAACGAATCGATGCATAATATAAATATCTAATCAAAAACTGTGATCAGTGCTGGATTGATTGTGAGAGGAAACCACATACCTCATACTGCTCTTGAGTGCCAGGAAAAGGCAGGGTAGACCTACGATTAAGAAGACCATTTGAAACCATTAAAACACAGGCGCAAAAAACATGAGCAATGACAGAGTTGCCGGGAAACAACAGGTCATGAATTAGTGAGGTTGGGTGACAAAGTGTGTAATTTGCATTCCTGAAAGTGTTTTAACTGCCACTAAATTATTTTCATGGGACTGAAATAAATCATCAGTGGATGAAGTCAGTCTGAAACTATTTCTCTCTGTTTCCCTCTATAACACAAACTGAAGCCACTTCAGTCGTCTCTTCATGATCAAAACTTGCTGATGGTCACAGGTTTGCATACTGAACACTTACTGAATGAACTGCAAGCCCTTCTGAATGTCCTGCCACCGACTGCTTCGGTCCTGGCCTGTGGCTGACATCTTCCCATACGCGTGTAGGACTTTACTGCAGTCAACACCTATGATTTATATAAATATATACAGAAATCAGACCTTACATTGATTACATTAATTTAACACAGATTTTCCTAAGTATCATGTATTGACACGTGTCATATAGTGAAATAGGAAAAGTATTCGTGTTCTGCTCTCGGTTTAAAAAAAAAGCAATGCTTTCTCAACAGTGATGGAATGTTCAACTTTTATTTGCGCAACCTGGTTCTTCAGAAGTTTGTTTCAAAGAACCGATTCGTCGATTGAACCAGGGTTCCTACACATTTTCCTTCTAAAAATTCCATACTTTTCCAGACTAAAATTACCAAACCTCTCAGTAGATTCTCAGACCATATTTAACATAAATGGTTCATAGAGCATTATTTTCAACTTTATGTTTGGTACATAGTACAGTCATTTGTAAATATTTTTTTTATTTTCTCAGGGCTTTATTTATTAATTAATAAATAAACCAGACAAGTCCTCTGCAGCTGTGTTGCAGCCTGGAATTAAACCACACAATGCTGGTTTCTCTGGCCAGAGGAGAACTGGCCCCCTGACTGAGCCTGGTTTCTCCCAAGGTTTTTTCTCCATTTCTGTCACCGATGGAGTTTTGGTTCCTTGCCACTGTCGCCTTTGGCTTGCTTAGTTAGGGACGCTTGACTGATTGCACAGACACTATTGGAAGAGGGCTAACTGGATGATGATATCACTGAATCATCAATGAACTGACTTTAGCTGGAAAAAAATGAATTTTGAAAATGAAAAAAATCTTGCTTTATTGACTAACTATTTCCTGTTTGACACTGTTGACACAATCAGTATTGTATAAAGTGCTACACAAATAAAAATGACACGACTTTCTCGAAGTGACAACATACAAAGCCCCTAAAACAAAACTACAGACTTTTGCATGCACACAAGAAACTTTTTTTGTGCCTTCAAGAAAATATTGACATGCGCATGGGAATTTTTGATGTGCTTACTCATTACAATTTCTAGTTTTTTTTATATAATATAACCTATGAAGTATTTATAATGTAAACAATGCTAAAATAAATTCACATATCTGGATTATTCTAAAAAAACGTTCTGACTATCAGCTCATTCGTCGGTTCTTGGCCTATTACAAGCCCGACAGATAGAATTCTCACTTCAGTTCGGTTTTGCAAACGGATTCATTCAAATCATCCGACTGAAAAGAACGATTCACTCCCAAATCGGACACCGCTGTATTGCATGTCTGACTATACGCGACAAAACCAGTAAGGAATGCAGTATACAATAACATACTTCCTTAACTTTGGTCCCCTTGGCGGCAGTCAAGGGAAATTCATCGAAAAGTGGCGTCTCATATCGGTTGATGTAATATTAGCCAGAGAAAACTTCTCGCATAGTTCATAAAGAAAACATTCGCGATAAAGAAACGCTAACTTTGTCTCAAACTGAAGTGAGCCGGGGTCCCTAACGTTTGTTCGAACGCGCATTCGACGCACTGTCACCAAAGGCAGCTCGCTCATTATTGAAACACAAGCCACTGTATAGCCAAATGTTTTCACAAACTTGTCTATGCCAGTGGGCATTTTTTTGCCGCAAGACTGGCACCGAGACTCTGACCTGTTTATCCGTGAAACCAGGAACACGTAGGTCTAGGTCTTGTGTGCTAGCCAAATGGTTGGTCATGCAACCTCTTGTGTCGCTAGGTAAACTAGCATAATAGCCTTTTTACCGCGCACCTCTGCCCACTCACATCAGTTTAACAGCGGCCACCCGAGCATATGTACGCGAAAAAAATCTGTGTTACTACCCTAAAAAACACTCACCTTAAGTAGATCAGTGTTCAGCGGGAAAGAAAGTGCTCCATACAATCACTAATGTTTTCATGTGTTCGTCAATCCTGTCTCTTCTATGGGCAACGTGATCTTCGTGACGTCTTGTTCACTCTTTCAGTAAGAAGCTGAGGATGGTTACAGCGCCCTCTTCAGACGTACTCGAAAACAGCTGCGGTCATTTTCAAACTGATGGCATTCTTTAAAATATACAATTGTATATTGTATTTTCTCTATGGGATTTGAACATTTATTTAATTTGCAATTAAGTAACTATGTACATACGTAAATACAATAAGCATATTCTTTAACAGTGTCAGTGTGAACAATAGTAAATTAATGCGTCTTATGTCACGTTGAATAGGCTAATAGTATACATAACATTACTGTGTTATTGCTACGCACATTAAAGTAGTGGAAAACAAATTAAATACACGTAAAACACCTGTAAAAAATTAAATAAGTAAATATTCCTAAAAAGTCCTTCTTATAAATACAGTCAGTGGTCTATTTTTATGGATTTTTAAAATTTGCTTCCACTTTGAATAATAAAATGGATATTGAATCTGCCTTTGCACAGATTACCCAATACAGAAAAATGTTAACAAAGATGCTATTAAAACAAATTGAGTCCAAAAGTCAATATGTTGAACAAAAAAAACATAAGAAATGGACCTTGGTTACATGGACTGTCTGTCACTGGAGGGAAAGAAAGCTTTCAGGTTTCATTAGGCCTATAAAATATCTTAATCAGACCAAAGTCTGATGGTTTTGAACTACAAGAGGGTGAATAAAGGATGTTTATGATGACGATTTCCCTGAAAAATTAGACTACAGATGGCGTTTTTCCATTGAATTAATGTTTTTTAAAAAGCACCAAATATCAGAATTGTTGAAAAATGCATTGAAATCTATAATTTTATAATGTTGACCTTGTATTCTAATTTTTCAAATTTGGCCAAATGTGAGAGACTGTCTTTTTTTTTTAAGATAATGCAAGTTTATCTGAATGTGAGTGGCTTTTTTTCAATGGCACATGGATGATGAATTTCTTGGATGAACGTTCTATTCTGGAATGTTATGCTTTTATTAAGCCATGCAGTTTTAAAGCAGTTTTCACTATTACCTGTTGCAAATTCTTCCTCAAATTTCTATGCAATGCTAAAAGTGGAAATGATGTCAATGAGTGTTGACATTTTAAAATGGTTGTCTCTCAGCTTATTTTTTTTCCAAACAGTAATTCAACACAGATTAAAACCGATTACTTGAAACAAGTTTTACAAGTTTAACATTTTTTACTTTGATCCAACAAAACATTTATTTTTTTTCAGTGTATAAAGTCTAAATCAGTTTATGAATAGTTCATTTACAGATGCAGGAGAGAGTAAATAGCTGCGTGCTGGAGTGTTCGATCATGACCTCCCAGTTGGCAGCTTATCGAGCTCAAGCTGCTTGTGTGGAAAAGCCAACCAGCCATCATAGGGCGGTCCCGAGCTGAACACCCAAGCAGTCGTCAGAGGGGGTACATTATCCAACATTCCCAGACTTTAACTTTTAACGTAATTTTAGCCCTGAGGAAACAGCAGCCTCCAGTAGTGAGAGAGTGCGAGGATTACAGTGATGTCCTGAGATTATTTAGCATCTAAATAAAGCCCAGCACTGAGGAACTCTGTTTATCCGACACTGAGCAGAGACTGGACTATTACCTGTGAGCACAATGACTGCGCTGTATCACACATTCCTGCTATTTACAGGTGAGGCTGCTCACATCTCATTTAACTAGTCACTCTCACACTGCTTTCTTATATCATCTACATTTATTATTAAATAAATAAGATGGGGTCGCTACTAGACACATGTAGTGTTTGTGCGTGTGTGTGTTTGTGTGAATAGTAGGCTATATATATAATTAATTTATTTAATTAAAAAAAATAATAATTTTTAAATAATTGTTAAAAGGTACTTTGAGTAATGCATTTAGTATTTTTAAAATGCATGCATTTAGTAGCTTTTAACAACTAATTTAGATGTTTTTAAAAAAAACTTTTGACAATACAATCAAACTATGAATAAGTTTGTTTTAAAGTTTAAACCTAAGCTTGCTTTATTTATTTATTATTGTTTTTTTATGTAATTGGGGGCAGAGTGGACAAAAGTTGGCTGAAAAAAATACTTTATGAAACTATTTTCACTCAGAAATTGCTGGTAAATTTCTCAAATAAATGGCAAATAATACAATAAATGAAACATGATATTTTGAAGTAGAAAGACTTTTTTAACCATGCTTAAATAATGTTTGTTTTATTTACAACTTAGAAAATTATTTTTTTACAGCATAGGTAAAAAAAAAAGTTAATAAAATTACCCGAGTGATTCAAGCAGATCATTAAAAAATATATACTTATGACTAAGAGTAAAATACACCTGTCATTTAGACCCATAAGAAATCCCACAAAACTGGAATCTAACACTTCATCCGTGGAATGAAAAATGGCCCTATTCTTTCCTTGGGAAACTCTGGACAATAGATTTGAAGTTGTTCCGTAAGTCTTACAGACAGTTACAATAAATGACTATAAATGTAAAACATTTAGGGATATAGTAACATAACACCATAGCTTTATATATGAGACTATGGAAAAGTGTTTTAAAAGTACACAGCAAAAAAAAAAAAAAGTTAAATGTCTACTATATGAATAAATATAAATGTAAAGAAAAATTGGATACATTATAATGAACACCAGCATTCACCACTTTCACCATTTTACTCTTTTCAGTCAGTATGGCTTCTCTGCAGCCACAGAGGTCTTCACGGAGCAAAAGGGGTTTGCTGGAACTAGCTGGCGTGATCAAGTGCAGCACGGGACGATCAGCTTTAACTTATGCGATGTACGGATGTTACTGTGGTCTCGGGGGTCAAGGGTGGCCCAGAGACAGAGCAGACTGGTAAGACACCACATTACTTACAAATATCTGGTTAGAATTGCTCTTATTAAATTTACTCCATGCATCTTGGTCAAAGTGTGTTCATTTCTGTGGCATTCCCTCAGACATCCGGAAAAGTCTTACTCCCAGCTCTCCCACACACAAAATTACAATTTCCCTTAACCTCAGTTAAGGATGCAGAGACCAATATCTCCGTTCCCAGTGAAAGAGCTCTTCGGAAGTGGACAGCGGGTTGAAAACGAATAAACAAAACTGCTAATATTATTACACCACATTCCACCGAGGGACTGCTCAATCTAATCTTACAGAGTCAGCAGTTTATCTGGCCGACATTCTCAGCGGCCCTTCATGTATGAGATCACGTTGTATTTCTGCAAGTCTACTTGAATTATACGTTACATAATGAGAAAACAATTCAAAACCAGACAGAACTGGGCTAGGTCCTCTGTGCCATTTCATTACTGATAATCTCAAGGTCATTTGTTCTTCTTTAGGTGTTGCCACAAACATGACTGCTGTTATGGGGATGCAGAATTCGCAGGCTGTCGGACCAAAACGGACAGGTATCTGTGGACGTGCGAAGAAGAGGAGGCTGACTGTGGTATGATGTGCTATTTAGATATTAAACCGGCATATTTACATTCTTTTAGAATCACGTTTTACATTATAATAGCCTGGGATCGAAATAAGAAAGAGAAAAAGTCAGTAAGGCTTAAAAGGGGATAGTGAACTTGTGGAAACATATGACTACGAACGTTTTGTTTGGTTTTTTCCTTCAGCTTCAGGAAGTAGTAGTAATACAGGGTGTGTATTATAACAGATGGAAGACTTCAGGCTAAAAAGAGGCAGTGTTTTTAACCAAACCACAAGATATTTTAAGATCTTGTTCCCGCAGTAAACACAATAACGTGCTATAGGAAACACTCAGTATATTGTTGAAGAGGCATAAAGATGGTTTTAATGCATGGTTAAAATATGGTTTCCTTCACTCTGTATGCGAACTACTCATTTTACACAGCCAACAATTTACATTTATGTCTTCAACGCAGATGCGCTTAATGACAGATGTGCGAAAATCCTTTGCCGATGTGACAGGGAAGCAGCCAGATGCCTCCGAAAGGCACCATACAACCAAAAATATGCTCTGTGGCCAGATTTCCTCTGTGGATGTGTTCATCCTACCTGCAACATTTACTAATGTCATTTACTAAAAATTGGGTAAACAAATCTTTTTGAGCTTGTATTGTATGTTTGATGTTTATTACAGACTTTATTCTGTTCAAATGATTTCTATTTTCTACATATGTGTATTTTGTATTTTCTATCTGCATAGTTGACTTTCAAAAGTGAATGGATTAAAATATGTGCAAGATATCACAGTATTGCTCATTTTTTAGATTTGGCTAAATTCAGTCATGATATCAGTGCGTTTTCTGAATGGCACTGCAGGGGAGAGTGGGGCTAGTTATTTCTCAGCGTAGGCTTATTAAAGTAAATGTGTCACAAACAATAGGTAGAGTCCTGTCAGGACCTCCTCATGCAGACACAATACGCAAAATAGCTGCAAGACATACAGGATTGGCACTTCCTGAGAAACACTGTGCCTTTGATGTTCTGATTGTATGGACCATTTGTTTCACACCTTAACAGACAGAGAAGCAATTTATTGCATCTGGTGCACAGTCAACTTAATTGAATCTGATATTCACACCATCTAATAAATGCAACCGACATAATCTTTCAATAGTCAATTTAATGGCTTTTTTAATCAAAATTCACTCATGAAACAGCAAAAAAAAAAAAAAAAAAAAAAGACACTGTTACATGCAAAAATAAAAAATCAAACGATTGTTTATGCCAAAAGAAATTGTAATAAGTTTATTATAAAATATCAAAATATTATCAAACATCAAACTTTAGCCCTGGTAAGATGAATGAATGAATGATCACAGATTTCATACTGATTGTGCACTTTACAGACAACAGGCAACATTTCAATTAAATGTTACTTTCACAGGGCCCAATAGGGGGCCTCAAACTTCCATAGTGTGCTTAAAGCAACTGTACGTTTTTTTTTAAACCTTGAAATCAGTTTCAAAATCATTCTGATGATACACTGACTCATAATAAGGCCAATAGGGTTGGTTTCTTTCCCACACTCTGCCCCAAACGTATGTTCGAGTATGGAAGTCTGGTAAGCGGGTACAGGCATACTCATTTACTGCAGCAACCAATACACATCTACAGCGATCCAGTTTTAAAACAGTAATATATTTACGACATGGAATTACATTTAACTGTTGGGGGCTCCAAAGTCGCAAAAAAACACAAAACTACATACAGCTGCTTTAGGAAAGCAGACTGTACACACTCTCCACACTCGGTCCTGGAGGGCCGGGGTCCTGCAGAGTTTAGCTTCAACAGCAATTAATAAACACATCTGAACCAGCTAATCAGGGTCTTACCAGGCATGCTAGAAACTTCCAGGCAGGAGTGTTGAGGCAATCTGGAGCTAAACTCTGCAGAACGGTGGTCCTCCAGGACAGAATGTGGACACCCCTGCTTTAGACTGACTTAAAACAAGTCAATACAACTTCACATGAAGATATGAATCTGTCATATCTTCAGATATGACAGATTCAAGTGTGAAGTGTGCCCTAGTGAAAAAAACCCTATGCCATAATTTATTTAAAATAGTACTTCAAAACCATTAGCATATTTATTGACATATCACTTAAGACTTTACTGATATGAAATTATAATTATACTTTATTTGGAGTATTTCTTTATTGCACAATACACATTTCTTAATATTATGCCTAAAATGTGTTTTAATATCACTATTAATAAGGATTGCATGATCTCTGTATAATAATCTTTAAATGCAAGAGATTTAAAGTGTACCTAAAGTATATGCAATAGTTCCACTTTAGCACAATCAAATATACTTAAGTGTATCTTTAGTTGGACCTCAGCATGTAAATGTATTTACTTAGCACAATTATTTCAAATACATTTTTCCCCACTAGGGTGATTTCTAAACCTTTAAAAAAAGTCATGTAAATTAATAAAATCTCCATGGGCATTTTTATAATGAAAACACAATTTTTTAGTTATGCCAAGCTCTAAAATATTTAATCAAGTACAATTTAAATTACAAATATATATATAAAAAAACCTTATCCAGTAAATCACAAACAACAGAAAAGGGCAGTGATCTTTTGAATATTGTTGTGGACAATGTGAAAACAGTTTAAATAACTTTTAAATACACCTTCATATAATTAATCTAAATACTTTCAAACTCGTATAACTTTGTAAGTCCCAAAGAAAAGATAGTAAGTTTTAATACAGTTTATGCCCAGACGAATGTAGCATTAAAGAGGTAGCCTATTACTCAGCATACAAACTAAACATGATGAATGGATCATTCTGGAGCTTTGAATATGACCATAGCTGGGGTCTGGTGTGCAATTTCCTTTACCTAAAATTAATGTGTTAATATCCAGGGAATGATGGGAATTCTGAAGCTGGCAAATATTGTGTTGTCTTTTCTAAGCCAAGGAGGAAATCTAGCTCCCACCCACCTCGTGTCCTTAAAAGTCTCCTCATAAATGGTGTGCGTCCTTTCTCAAGGTCTAATGCTGATCCTCGCTCTCATTCCCAGCATTACACAGAAATGACATCAGGTTCATTAATAGAGCTTGTTGTCTTTTATTTGAAGGTAAGAAGCTGAGTGAAACTAGACATCGGTCTGCTGGATGCATGAAATCAACCACTAGGTGGCATCATACCATCAGTTTTTATTTACACACGAACCACAGACAACAATAGGACTTTGTTCGTTTTCACTTTATTGTTTGAGAGTTATCAGCGTTATTTTAAAATATACAACATAATATAATCAATCATTTAATTAGACATTTTATAAATGCATTGCTTTAAACGACATCCCAGCCAAGCCCACACAACGACTAGCCTAAAGTCGTTCAAGCATAACCTTAATGCTAATAGGGAATATTGTTTTTTTTTTTTTAAAGATAGCCTAGGCCTATTTCCTATGTATTTTTGGTCTAATCAATACTAGCTCTATTCAAGACCTTACAAAGTCTGGTGTACCAAATCATTAATAGACAAAGAATAGGCTACACAGTGCTTACATAGCTATTCCACTGTCTGTGCACATTTAAATAACTCAATTGTTGGCTCATGTGTCTGAGCTAATTTAATAACACTGCCATGGTAAATCATGCTAATCTGTCTTTTGTTTTTCTGTGGTGCTTGTTAAGGGATTTAAATGGTCATAACTAGCCTTTGCATCCCATAGTTCACTCCTTACATGGGACTCTCATGTGAAGTTCCGCACGGTCTGTTGTCAGGCAGGGTGAAGCTATCTGAAACAGGAGAAGATCTGCCCAACAGCCAAAGCCAAGGACTGAGATCTGAATATCTAGGGCAAGTTCTACAAACACTCACTCAATTGTGTCCTGCCATCAGCGGTTAATGAGCGATGAAGTTATGGAAGTCATATGCCTCTGCAGTCACATGGAAGGGGGGGAAAGAAGAGGGTTCTTATTTTCACGTCTGTATGTCTGCTTGTTTACTTCCTCCAAGAGCATCTTGAAATTGTAGACAATGCTGTTACTTGTTTGACTTTTTAACTCCTGGCGCATGGGTTTTCTTTATCTATCGCCATGAAGTGCATCTGGTTGCTGGAAGCTGAAAAACAAAACAACTGTAACTTCAATCCTTCTGTACTGTATAGGTCAGGGGAAAACATAAAACTAATGATGGAAAGGAATATAGCTTAACATGCTTAATCTTAGAAATCATGATGCCTTCACTTTTCTACTTGGAAAATGGATATTTGTCAATCAATTTAAGAACGTTTGCAGTCCAAACCAATTAAAGACAGTACTTTTGATCGATTTTACTCATTAAGTTTAACTCATTCAGTTTGATATCAAAGTTTCATCTGCAAACAAATTATGCTAGACAAATGATGCTTTTTCTCTCAATTTACAGTGTCCTAGAGTGACTTTCTGCAGTGTCCTAATGTGTTTTTGAGGGCTTCTGTACAAGTTCCCAGAACAACACAAGAGAAAGGCAACATGTAAACATGATCATGAATTCTGAGTACAATTGTGCAATTGTCCCAAACACCTGGACTCAATTGACTGTTAAGTGGAAAACTAGAAAGAAATATCACAATCGGCACCTTTAAATACTTTAACAAGTAGCTGCTGGGAAAAGGGAACAGGAAGGTCTCCAGTGGCTTCTTCTGAACATTTAAAGGAATCTAGTGATCACAATAAACAAAGGTTCTGTTAGTAGTAATGCCTTCAAACACAAGATAAATGGAATATATAGAAACATCCATGCAGTATACAGAACACGAGTGGTGACCAATTTACTCTGTCTTTAAGGTGGTTAATAAAAGTTGTAACATATAGTTTCACTAGGGGTGTAATTGCTTCTCTTCAGAAAGTACTGTATAATCTTGTTCCCATGTGTAATCCAGCCTAGATGATCACCTTCATAATAGCAAGCCTTATAATTACTTTCAAGGTTTAATGGCCTGCACTCGAACAGCTCTACAAGTTGTATCAGCGGGTTTATTTGGAGCTTGGCATTAGCTATAGGGCCTACTCATCCAAAAAAAAAAGCATTCCTCATGTCTTTCCAGAAAAGGGCTTTAAACTCCACGTTTGGCTGTGTAGAAAGCATTATGATCACACGATAAGGCTGACCATGGCTTAATTGGTGTAACTTGATAGCATATTGCTGTGGCTTCACACCCTGAGAGATGGATCTAATTGAAGTCTCTGGAGATCACAGCTAGCATATGGAGCTCCTCTCACTGTCTCCTACCTGGCAACTGGTGCAAGGAAAGAATCTCTAGCCTTTTTTTTTTTTGGTCCCGGAACCTCTGAATTCAAGTAACAGCGCTAAGAGTGTAGATGGTGTTGTATCAGCTCAGCTGACCTAGTCTTATGACATTAGTTAGCATTTCTGGTTTTCTGTGACTATTTGCCAGTAAAGTCAATATTTCAAGTATGATTGTATTTTTTTCATGGGTGTTTCCCATCCATTTTGTTCAAACTATTAGACTTTGAATGGTCTGTATGGATGAAAGTTTGTTTTGGTGCACTACTGATCCAACATTATACTGCCAGTTTAGAGACGCCAGTTCATTTACTAAATGAGCTTTTATTCAATTAACTGTTGCCTCTTTGCCACAAATGACCGTTGGAAACAAGTTCTTCACCAAAAACACTAGAAAGCTTGAAGTGGCATTCAGAACTGATTTTCTAATTTTGCTGATCAACTAAAAGACTGAATCTGTCACAACAGGAGTAGCGAATTGTTATGGTTTTCTTTAATTAATGAGATTTTTTTTTGTTATTTTGTATAAAATCATTTTTGAATAATAATATCTCTATATGTAGGCTATCTATTACAGGTTTTTTACACAATCGCCTTGGCATTAATATCAGAACCTTGATGTCATTTTTTCTAATCTACACTTTTTACCATTGCTTAGATACAATACATATAAACATAAGACAATTTTTAAATTGAACTAAAATCACCTGTTGACACAACATTCAAGTGTTACCATTTCAAAATGCAATTTGATTGTTTATTCATTTCATTGCAATGATCTACCCATCAATTGAAACAACTGCTCAAAAGGCTGCACCGTTGCATTATTCCTAATGCATATGGAAACTGGCCAACAATATTCAGATCATGAAAGTTTCAGGATAACGAGATTGATTACGTGGAACGTGAACCAATTGGATTAGATTACCTATGGAGGTAATACTTCATCATCATTCTGTTTCTATGGTCCCATGTACTTCTTTTCCGAACCATGTTTTCAGATGTTTACAGTTGTCAATCTTTGTTTTGCCTTTTAAATTAAGCCAGTTAAGAAGTTAAAGAAATACTGCAGTTAACGTTTTATTGTGCTGTTGTGTTTTTAATTTTTTTGTAGTTATTATTTTTTATGGTTTGATTATATTTCATCAATACTGTAAATACTGATTCCAGTAGTATTCAATAATCAATGTGTTGAATGAAATGGACAGACAGCTACAGCTAGCCAGACAGACAGACAGACAGACAGACAGATAGATAGATAGATAGACATAGATAGATAGCTAGATAGATAGATAGATAGATAGATAGATAGATAGACAGATAGATAGATGGGTATGTGAAAATGGCATGGATCTGCGATCGATACTTTCTTTTGATTTGGCTGACGAAAGAAATGTCTGGACTTGTAGCATACAATTAATCTTTTTTCTCAAACGGGCTGTTTCTCTGGGAGCAGTGACTCAAGTCGTAACCTGTCTCAACTGTTTCAGTCTACAAACTCTTCCCTGGCCTTGTCACATAAACATGTAAATGAAAGATAGGGAAGCGGTCCCACTGATCCATAACTGCCCGCTGTCTTTACAGATGTTGCACACACTGTCATGTAATTTTATGTGCATCTTGTCCTTCACTTTGAAACTATAAATCCATTCGGTGGGCAGAAACACTGAAGATGTGACTCAGAAATAAAAGCCATGTGCACTGGCTTCCTTTCTCATTTCCCTTTGAAAAAGGCCCAAGACACAGCAGCCACAAGAGCACACAGGAAGTAAATCTTCAAGGACTACCACTTGGGAATCATCGCAGCGAGTTTCCCCCAAAACCCAAAGACATACAACAGCTCCTCGCTGCGAACGCAGACAAGAAAAATGGCAGCGGTGAGACAAGCATGCTAACAAATGAATATCAGATGACTGCCAGTCACCTTAATGCATGAAGCTGGGCTCAGCTTTTATTCAGAATAGACATTCATTCATTTGGTTTGGCTGTGAGGGGGTGGCATGTGGTTTCAGTTAAGAGCTGAACTGCTAGGGAGCTTCGTCTAATGTGTGTGTGTGTCTGTGTGTGTGTCTCTATCTTGCTTCTCCCTGACCCCATGACTCATGACAGCATGGCTACGCTCCTCTCCCACACAACAGGAGCAATACAGATACAAAGAATGCAGACTAATGGTTTGCCACGTGGTAATATCCCTGCAGGAAGAGGAAGCATGGATCATAAAATTTAAGCCTTGCAAGGCATTCATCGACAATAGAGCCAGTCAGCATTTTCCTCACCCCCTCTAAACAAAAACACCTCTCAATAGATAACTTGCACTGTAGTTGACATGTGTTTCTTTGTGTAATATTGGGAGGTGAGGAGCTCGGTCCATATGCCATTTTCACCACTGCATTATGAAATGTCTTTAAAAGAATAGTTCAAGTTAAAGGAATAGTCCATCCAAAAATGAAAATTCATTTACTCAGCCTCATGTCTTATCCATATGACTTTCTGTCTTCTGTAGAACATAAAAGATATTTACAAAAATGTAGGGAACCAAACTGTTTTAGTGGCCATTGACTTCTATTGTAAGGACAAAAATAAGCAATGAGATATTTCTCAAGATGTCTTATATTCCTCATGCAGATTTGGAACTAAATGAGGGTGAGTAAATGACAGAATGTTTATTTTTAGGTGAACTATCCTATTAAGTTCAATCTATATTTTTATTTTTCATTTCCCATTATAAGTGCGTCAGTGTAGATTTTTGGGGGGGGGGGGGGTAATCAACATGTCATGAATGCTGTAGATTGTACTGAACCTGGAATACTCCTTTAATATCGATATTGCATTCATGGTCCATTGTGAATAACATATACTGCACACTCTTTAAAATAAAGGTTCTTTACTGGCAATCATGGAACATCCATGGAAACTTTCTATTGGACAAGATGTTCTTAATAGTTTAAAAAAATGTTCTTGATTATTAAAAAGTTCTTCACACTAAGAAAGAAAAACATTTTAAGAACTGTTCACTAAAAGGTTCTTCAGGAATCCAAAAAAAATGGTTCTTATATGTGACCCTGGACCACAAAACCAGTCTTAAGTCGCTGGGGTATATTTGTAGCAATAGCCAAAAATACATTGCATGGGTCAAAATTATAGATTTTTCTTTTATGCCAAAAATCATTAGGATATTAAGTAAAGATCATGTTCCATGAAGATATTTTGTAAATTTCCTACTGTAAATATATTAAAACTTAATTTTTGATTAGTAATATGCATTGCTAAGAACTTCATTTGGACAGCTTTAAAGGCGATTTTCTCAATATTTAGATTTTTTTGCACCCTCAGATTCCAGATTTTCAAATAGTTGTATCTCAGCCAAATATTGTCCTATCCTAACAAACCACACATCAATGGGAAGCTTATTTATTCAGCTTTCGGATGATGAATAAATCAATATTTTGAAAAATTGACACTTAAGACTGGTTTTGTGGTCCAGGGTCACACATGCCATCGCTGTGAAAACTCCCTTTGGAATCTTGATTTTTAAGAGTGCTGAGAAATAAGATGTTTGCAGCAGCAGTCAGAAGTCAATGTACTGTATCAGAGGAGCATGTAGCCAGTGTGTGATGAGCTCGTGATAACCACAAAGACAGCGTAGAAAGCCAAAGAGCATGATCCATTACTGAGCCCACTGGCAAATCAAAACAACAAAACCAGCACTGTCAGGTCTGTAATCTCTTTTAAATGTGCACCAGATGGCAAGACAACTTTGATAGCACGTTTGGCGAGAGATAACTATTTTGTAAACACAGGTCTTTAAAGTTTTGTACTGTTAATCGTCATGAAATCTCTGCTGTGGTGGTAAACTCTACTTTTGGGCTTGCTAACAACAGTGGTCAACAAACAAGACAGTAAAAACACAGAGAAGCTGTATCACTATGCAGTAATGTCGTTAACAGTGGCAAAGCTGTTAGTTCAGCTGTTTCTCAGTAGCGAGATGGCAGTGTCACTATTTTCAAAACTGCATAGCTTTAGCAAAGCTGTTTTGATTAAGTAATGTATAGCATTGTATACTAAAATTGAAAATTTTCTTGACAACATTTCCACAATAAAGATGTGTGTACAGACTTCAGTATTCAGTATTTGCTAATGTGCTGTTTAGAATCAGAATTAGAAGAATTAGAATTTAGAATCAGAAGTCTGATTCAGGAAAAAAAAACAACCCTTTCAGATCAAAAATGTAAATTCTGTCCTCATTTATTCACCCTCATGTCTATGGAAGTCAATGGCTAAAGTCAACTATTTGATGAATGATGAATGAAACTCATTCAGGTTTGGAACAAAATAAGGGTTAGTAAATTATGGCATTTTGATTTTTGGGTGAACTCTCTTTAAAGCAGCAGACGACAAAACTGCAGCTCACGC